TTTTGTCTTGGCTATTTCTAACAGGGAAAGGTGGTGATAACATGGTGTGTGCCTGTGTCTGTGTGTCCGTTTGTTTGCACTTTTTTTTACAGTGAAACATTTTCATTTATCATTTCATTCAAATTGTTACCTGACTCTTTTTACTTTGACTACTTGCAAATAGAAAACAAAAGAACAAGAATATGGCGCTATTAGTGTTTGAATTATCGATGTGGTGCTGAGTAGAAAACACTGAAAAAGGCTAGACATTCCATATTGTTTAAATTTGTGCAGTGGTTTGGGTGTGTCTTTAGTCTGTGATAATGTCTTGTAACAAAATTCACTAATAGTTTGCAGTAGCTCTAACTGATCATCTGAATGCAAATGCCCCCCCCCAAAAAAAAACACAGAAGAAATAATGTGTGAATGAAGGTCTGTGTGTGTCTATTAAATAAAAAAAAAAAAAACTCTTTTCAAAATAAACTCTATCAACTAACTTCTTTACACCAGCCTTTAAAATCTGAATTGTATATCAAGTGGGAAAACAGTCAGCTTTTCACTAAAAGAAAAAAAAAAAGAATTTTGTTTAAAAAATGTCTTGGAAGAGACTTTTAGTTTCAAGATTTTTTTCCTTGAAAGGTGAAGAGTGAAATCATATTTTTCTTTCAGGCCAGGGCATCTACCACAGGGCAATGGTTAGTTAACAAGCGAGTGTCATATCATGCAAAGATCGTATAGCAGCAGGATTCATCTTTCTTTGACTAGAGGGAGCTACTTATCTAGTGGTATGTATATTAACCCTGCAAACAACTGTGACCTAACAATACTAAGTGCTTAATGGTAGGATATCAAAAATGTAACTCAATTCGTGTAGTAAAACTTATTCCAATAATATTTTGGACTATGCAAAGCTTATTATATAACTAGACTATATATGGTGTATAATACTTGATTTATATATATATATATATATATATATATATATAGAAACAACTCAACACTTTGATCTGAAAACCTGGAAAACCCAAGCATCAAACCAAAAGGAGCAGCATATGAGATATTTCATTAAGTTAAAGGTTTTTGAAGACAGTAGACTGAAGCACTGTAATCAGCTTCATCAATTTCTGGAGCAGAGACACCATTAAAGTCCTGCTTTAACAAATTTCATCTGTCAGTGTGGCTTTGTCGCCCACAGCAAGGCTGGGCTAGTATCTCACTTAAGAAAGCACAAATGAAATATGTCTTTCCCTTACTTGATTTTCTCCACAATAGCCCCTGCTAACAGGCATAAGTGTAAAACGAAAGGCACGATCCAATGCTGACCCTCATTTATCGTTCACGATAGGAAAGTCCACCATATATATGTATAAGTGGAAAAAGTTTTCTTTTGACGTGTTTCGTCCTTTAGGACATCATTGGACTAAATTTGTTATGTAGGTGCTGCTACACATGTGCACAAATGAGGGATATGTGGGATTTTAAATTTTCTTTTTGTTTTTTTGTTTTTTGCTTTTTAATCTAGCTGATTTCATTAAGATTATTTTTCTTTCCATCACTTTTGTTCGTAGATATCCCACAACTCTTACAACATTTAACCATTTCTGGCAGAACTTCTATTATCACAGTGTGCGATGTCTGCTAACAAAAGTGATGGAAAGAAAATGAATGTAAATGAAATTGGCTAGATTAAAAAAAAATGTTTAACTTCCCAGCATCCCTCATTTTTGCACATGTATATACATATATATATATACTCACACCAACATAACAAATTTAGTCTGATGAAGTCCTAAAAAACAAAACCTGTCACAAGAAAACTTTTTCCACTTTGTCATACATTTCCCCAATATTATTTTTCACATAAAACAATATATATCATTATCTCATATATATATATATATATATATATATATATATAAGCTCCATATGAAATGAGAACGAATTCCAACATTCGTAATATTAATTTAAAAGCGATCTCAATACAAAAGTAGAGAAATATTCTTTATTTTAGGATATTGCATCAAAAACAGCAGAATTTGTTTTGTTTATAATCAGATCCCCCCAATCAAAATGGCCTACGCTAAGTAAGAGGTCATGACCCACAGATTTAAAATCACAGACAACTTATACGTTATATTTGAAATAAATATATATATATATATATATATATATATATATATATAACAATAATGAAGATTTTTTTTGCCAAAAAGAAAAACTGTTGACCAGTAAATTTCTGGATGATAACACTTTTAAGACAAGCAGTTTTTATGATTAGAATGCTCAATATCAAGGGATAAAATGTTAATAGGATTAAATGTTCAACTTATCCGACCCTACTCAGCACATTTTCATTGGGTAATAATGTTTGTTAATACCTTGGGATCATTTTTCTTTGTTTCTTTGGACAATAATCTTTGAGTCTAACTTTGAACCAAACCCTTTATAGAATATTGTCAGTCTTCTGTCCATATTAGGGAATAGCTTATATTAATTAGTACTTTAGTGTTATTTTGTTATTGTTATATCACTTTTATTAATTTTACTGAAATGTTATAACTGTAACAACTAAAATAAAGACAATGTTTCAAAAGAATAATAAACAGAATTTCTCAGTTAAAATTCATAAAATCTTTTTCTTAAGAGTCAAGAAAATGAACTTCATAAGTTCAGTTATAGCTCTTTCCAGTACTGACGGGAGTTTCCTTCCAAACCTTCTGTTTAAGATAGTGTGGAAAGTTAACATTTTGATTATATCTTATTTCCTCTTCTATTTACACGTGCTACCCATTTTGTTGTTTGCAATAAAAAATATTGCAACATGAGAATGCCCCTGCCACTGCACTTTAATTGATAGAGCTTGTGGGTCAAAAATGTCAAAGGGTTTATTAGAAATTGCTGAATGCCCATCTTCATACTTGCAGACAGTACTAACAGGATATGAGATTTTGATGTGCTCATGATGTATTCTCATTTATAAAGACGTAAAATGCTTTACTCTGACCTTGACTCTTTTATATTAAGAGACCTCTGTGGGTGAAACACTTGCCCAAGGTGAGCACTTAAAACCAGCATACAGTTATATAATTATTTAATTTGCCCATCTCAAATCCATTTATGAAAATAAGACATAGCACTGCATTTTGGTCAACTGTTGAAGAAGAGCAAAAAAGAACCACAGACTTCTTTGGAAATAAGACATAAAACTTTATCTAAAATAAGTTTCAAGTGGTAAACAGAAACAAAGTCTGAACAACTCAATTCAAACCCAAGTGCCATGTGAATTAAGTCCAGTAACACAAACAAATCTTGAAAGATAGGAAAACTTTATTGTCTACCTAACTGTTCTTTCCCATGTCTTTATGGTACCTAGACTTTATGGATTTAAGCAGAGTACTAGATTGGCTACAAGGTATCATCATTTTATAGTCATAATGTCTAGATGTAACCATGCTATGCTAACAGTTACTTCTCTCACACTTTTGCATTCCAATCAACTTTTATTTTCAAAAATTTAAATGTAATGTCAATTGTTATCTTCTGTCTTTTTAATTCTTGTTCTTTTATTATTCTCTCTCCTTAATAGTATTTTTTCTTTATTCACATACTCTCTAACACTCGGTAACCCTTTGTCTTAGTGGCTTTATTGCCTTGCTTGTGGTGAAATGTTCAAAACAAAACAACAATTTAAATATGTAGGAAGTAGTTTAACAAAAGACGGAAAGTGTGACACCAAAATCTGAAAGTGCATTGGGATAGCGAAAGATGCCTTCCAAAAGCTAAGCAAAGTATTAAGAAACAATATTAACTTATATTGTTGCATTTTTTCTTCTATTATGCCTGTTTATATAGTTTATATAAAATTATATATCTCGAGTATTTCAGGTTAGTAATTCAAAAGTTTTGGCAATTAATTAAATTATGGCTTATTAAATTACCTCCCTTTTTTTATTCCTCCAATCAGCTTGCTCTAACAAGTACAGCATTTTAAATATCTGGGAAGTGTTTTAACAGAGGATGGAAAGTTTGGTGCTGAAATTCGAAGACACATTGGGATAGCAAAAGATGCCTTCCAAAAGCTAAACAAAGTATTAAGAAACAGAAATATTTGTTAGAAACAAAGAAAAGAGTACTGGATTGTTATGCAATATCAGTCCTCTTATGGCAGTGAATGCTGGGCAATCTCTGCACAGATGAAAATGTGACTTGAAACAACAGAAATATAGTTCTACAAAAGAATGCTGAGAGTACCATAGACTGAACATGTGCAAAGTTTTTGAGAAAATGGAAATAGTTATACTTAACATAAGGAGGAAATTGTTGAAATTTCTGGAGCACATAATGAGGAAAGAGGTTTGAAAAATTTGATACTCACAAGACAGATTGAAGGCAAGTTGGCCAGATATAAACAACACATAAGCTACCTCACAAACTTAAGTAAATGGATGGTGGAGTAAGACTTAGGAGAGATAACAAAAAGACAAAATTTAATAAGTGCTATAAATGATGGGAAAATATGGAGAGCCATGATCGCCAGTGTCCTGAAGAGGCATGGCATGTAAAAGAATCAGCTAACTCTAACAAATAGCATGTTTTCTTATTCTTGAAATTGGTAAATTAATTTTATTTCCTACTAATCAATTTTTACGGTCTTTATAGCAGAGAGCAAGGATAACTAATAGTTATTATATTTAGTAATTTCTTATCTCTTACTGGTGTAATAATATCAATAATAGTAAAGTAAGTTGTGGTGTTGAAGAACTTGGTGATAAGGTCATGTGGAAATGGTATTATCTAGGATTGGGACTATGGTGACAGGCTTAAGATAAAAATTTGCTTTTAATGAGAAAGTGATTAAACTAGTGATAACATTGACAGTGGTTGTAGTAGTGGTGACATAAAGAATTGGTTATCATCATTACCTCCAGAGATAATGGCAGTAGCAGGAACAGCAGATCAGTGAAGTAAAGCAAATATTGATAGTGGCAGTAGCTAAGATTTTCTGCCACAGTTCCATTGTCATGGCAACCAGAGAAGCAGTCAATGCTGCATTTTCTCTGTGGTTTAAGCTCACTGCATCCTATAAAGTGTTTGGTTGCATACATATATCTCTCACCTTGTTTCCATTACCTGCCTTGCTGTATTTTTTCTTGGAATCTTTAACAACTCATGCTGTTAACAGCTTGTATTATTGGAAGAATGGAGGGAGGGAGAGTTTTTACATTCCTTGTCTGAACGATGAAATTATCATTACTTTGAATAATAGCATTTTAATACATATATATATATATATAAAATGCATACACATATAATTATTTTTAATAAAATAAAATCATTAATTTTAAAATAACTTCCAATATATTGAATTAATTGCTAGGTCTTTTGCTAGAAAAGTTGGTTCACTGTGTCATGTTAGACAATTTTTTTCTCCCCAGAATCTATCTTATACATTTATAAGTCTACCATTTGGTCATGAATTGAATATCTGGCCTGATGTTTCTGCTACACGTTTAGAGATTTTTATAAAATATAATGAAAAATCTGCAATGTTATTCATCCTGACCTGACATCTCTGCTTCAGTCACTTTCTCACTGATGTAACATAGCTTTTTCCCTGGCTTTTCTATAAATATTTTTATGGTAATCATTCTGATGAACTTCCCTCTTTGGTATCTAGACTTTATGAATTTAAGTGCAGTACTAGATTGGCAGCTAGGTTTCATCGTTTTACAGTTGTAATGGCTAGATCTGATTGCAAGTTTCTTCTCTCGCACATTTCTCACTTGTAGAACTCTCTCCTGGCTTCTTACTTTCCAGTTAACTTTGATTTTAAAAAATTTAAATACAATGTCAATCATTATCTTCTGTCATTTTAATTCATGTTCTTTTATTGTTCTCTCTCCTTAATAATGTTTTCCTTTTCACTTATTCTCTAATACTCAGTAATCTCTTGCATTTTAGTGGTTTTATTGCCTTGCTTTGAAGTGAATTGATTAAAAAAAAACTTGCAACAAAGAAAAGTTAAATCCTCAAAACATTAATACATGTTAAATATCTGAAATTTAAGATTTAGAAAACAACTATTTGAGTCACCATTCAATATAATTGTACAAAAGACTGTCATTAAATTTGTTCCCTTGCAACTTATGCTACCTTCTATAATTAAAAAAAGTGGGGTGTAGTACTTTATAGTAAGCACCTACTAGATTTTGCTCTTCAAAAATTTTTTTTTTTTTTTTTTTCAGTTCAGTGCAAGCACTAACCCTACAATATTAACATTCAGTTTCAAATAACTCAAATTTTTCTTTCATTTGTATTTTTTAATTTAGCAGATTTTAAGGATAACTTAATTGCATACCTCTGGCACAAATATACCATTTTGGTTACTTAGAGGTTATAGACTGAATCAAACTTTTTGTATTATATAGATTCAGAGAACATGATATTTTTCTCAATATATTAAAACTTTTCTATTCAAGATAAGAAATTTCTAATCTTATTCCTATTATTTTTATTTCAATTATTAGCATAATAGTGAATTGCTATGAACCTGATAATGACCAAAAATGTAATTTGCATATAATATATTACCTAGATGTAGGTCAAAATACCCTATAAAGTACCTGAAAATAATCAAAAGCAAAGGCTGATGGCCACATGTTGAAATACCAGTTCCTGTACGATCACCAAAGTTAAGCAACATCGAACCTGGTCAGTACCTAAATGGGTGACCGCTTAAGAATACCAGGTCCTGTAAGCTTGGATGGGCAAGTAGAGTAATGGATAATGGCTTGGAATTTCTAATTGGAGAGCTGAGTTTCAGTTCCAGTTGGGTTCGTTATATTCAATTACATGCAAATACCCTAAGAAAAGATATGAATTCACCACTTTTCCTTCCCCCAGCTATGGATTAATTAGTAAGACTTGTATCACTAAATCATTATCTCCAAAAAAAATTCTTACAATCTAAAAATATTTTCTGGCTTTAAATAATCTACAAAGGGTTGATAGAAAATAAATCAGAATATATCACAAATATAGCTTAATCTTGAGGCAGGTGATAAATGAATTTGTGTTATAAAAAAATTCTTACAGACCCAGAATTTCAAAATAAAAATGAGAAAAGTCTTTCTTTTATTTATTTTTTTTGTTAATAGGCAAATGTTTTTGCTTTGTTTAAGGGATGATAATGTATTGTTTTTATTTAAATTACAGTATTCTCCATTTCTATAATGATACTTTTGTACAAGCAATGGTATTGTCCATTTATAAAATTATGGTTCAATATATTTTAGAGTGGGTATTTCTTCATTAAAAAAAAGAAAACTGAAAAAAACCCAAAAAAACTCTTTTCTTTTATATCAATTATTGTTAATGATATGAGCCTTATATATTGGTTTTGCATCTGTTATCTTTACAATATTCTTATAGACATCAAAAACCAATGTTCCCTAATTTTTTTGCCATCAGTGAAATCAGTAAGGAGACTGCATTTATATCAGTTTTGTTTTTGTGTGTACTTTACTGATTACTTTGACTTCTTTTGCCTTCTTGTGGTGCCAGTGTATTGTTTTAATTGTTGTGGTAGAATGTTTACATAATTGTGGGCATGTGTGTATAAAAATGACAAAAAAATTGTTATTCAGATTATCAAGACGATAAAAAAAAAAATAAGATTCCTCTTGAAATTTACTTGATTCTTAGCTTTTTCCCTAAAATCACAGAAAACTAAACATGACTAGAGCAATAATAAAAGGTGTGATCCTAATGCCCATATAAGGCTTGATGTCACACTGCTAAAAAAAGAAACTGATATAAAAAATGCCAAATTTTTTTTTTTTTTTTTCCAAGGAAAATGGCATTATAGCAGGATATTTTTTGTTTTAATCTAAACTCAAAATAGATATTTGAAATATAAAATTTTTTAAAAATTCAAAGCACAAATGACATGACAATGAAGACAAGAAAATTATATTAAATTTTGTTTTAGCTTTCTTTTCTTTTTGTATTTGTTATTTTTTCTCTTTTATTTCATAGTTTTTCTTTTTTCTCATTTTTTTGTTATTTTTTCTTTCTTTCTTCTTTTTCTCTTTTCTGGCTTCCATTTTTCTTCCTCTTCTTTCTTCTTTCTATTTTCTCTTCTGTTTCTTTCTTCCTTTTCTTTCTTTCTTCCTTTTCTTTCTTTCTTCCTTTTCTTTTTCTTTTTTCTTTTTCTCTTCTGTTTTCTTTCTTTTCTTTTTTCTTTTCTGTTTTCTTTCTTTTCTTTTTTCTTTTTCTCTTCTGTTTTCTTTCTTTTCTTTCTTCTTTTTCTCTTCTGTTTTCTTTCTTTCTTCTTTCTTTCTTCTTTTTCTTTTCTTTCTTTTTCTTCCATTTTCTTTTCTTCTTTTTCACATTTTTTTCTTTTATCTTATTTTTTTTGTCACTCTTCATGAATGTCTCACCATGATTTTTACACCTTCTCCCTCAAATAATAAAATAGCTAAATGACTTTAAAAAAAAAAAAAAAAAGTGTGACTATCAACTGGTGGCCTGGTGAAATAACTGAAATCTGTAGCTATATATAGAGAAGTAATTTGCCATTGAATTCCTTGTTATTAGACATAAATGGAATAAATCTTTCCTTTTTTCCATTGCCCAATCCTTTTCTCTTTTTTTTCATCTCCTTTCCATTAGTTTCCTCTCTTTTTTCTTTCTTTTTCTATGTTCTTTTAGAAGCTTTAATGATATGCAAACAAATATAACTTATACATGTGGCCTTTAAAAATTATTTTCCCTAAACTAGCCTTTTTTGTTGTTTAATGGCTAATAGCATTAAAAAATAAAAGAAAGAAAAACAATCACATCTTTAATCACCATTGCTATAATATTATCATAAAATATTTAAAATTTAATGCAAGGGAGTACATTTTTGTATTTGTAAAATAAATACATGTTACCAAAAGGTGCATTTTTCAACTAAAATTTTATTAGTAATGTTCTTTAGATACTTAAATAGCAGTGCCTAATGGATTTATGCACTTGTAAAATCTCCTCTATAAAAAAAAAGCAGCAAAACTGGCTTGTAAAGCAATGATTACACCGTTCAACTGACAATTCACATATGATCTTGTTATTTTTTACATCTCATGTCAATTGTGGTTAATATATTTGTATATGTATCAAATGTACAATACCAAACATGGCTAAAATTGTTAGGCTTGTGTCCAGGCTTTTAATTCTTATATCTTCTGTTTATTGTGGTCAGTACATACATTCACTCAAAAAGGGACATGAATTTGAGAATTGACAGCAGCTTTTTATGGTCGGTTTATGCTGCAGGTCTTTCCATTGTGTCTTCACTTTCGTTCTTGTAAAATCCACAATGACTAAAAGATATGATTACAATAAAGAGATTTAAATTTGTTTTCTTCTCTCAAATCCAAATGATAAGCCTGTATTCAATCCTTTGTGGGATCATTCATTATTTTATCCTTCTCTATATTTTGGTAAGCTCATCTGGGGTACCCAGGAAACTTATATATGAAAATGTTGGGAAGGAAAAGAGAAAAAAAATATGTGGGTAAAAAAGAAGAGACAGAGATGTAAAGAATAATATAAGAAAATCAAACATAATTTATATAAACACAAGTTTGATAAGGACAATGAACAAGAGGTCTTGGAGATTCCATTTTAAGTGCTGGTTTGGGTAGGGGCTCGCTACTTCGAACTCTCTTATGGAAAATCTGATTTTGCCTTGGAGCATAATGACTTCTTCTTGCCTACAAGTCAGTGCTATATTTGTAAAAGCTGCTATATCTATTTAATGTAAATATCTACCAAACTATAGGCCTATGTCTGTCACACAGGTTTGGCTGAATGGATAGCATGGAGGACTAGCAGCCGAGAGGTTTGACGTTCTATCCAAAGTAGCATATTGGTAGAAATGCATTCACATTTTATTATCTAAGAAAAACAAAATAAAGACAAATTTTAGTCCAAAATAAAGAACTCCTCTTAGAAGTTAACCTCAAATTTTTATGAATTTTGAAATCTGTTACATATGCAAATTGTAAACTTTCTTGTTTTTCTTTTTTTTTTTTAATCATTAGAGGTGGAAGAAAAAGAAAAGGCATCTAGGCAATTTTTTTGTACTTTTTGAATAATGGCAAATTGCTTCTGAAATTTATATTGAAAAAAAAAAATGTAAAAAGTAAAAAAAATTTTAGTGTGATTTTCTTGTACTTTCATATATAAGAATTCATAGAGTGATAGAAATTAAAAAAAAAAAAAAAACAATTTTCTAAATCGTGTCAATTTTGGGATGCGTATATCACAACCCCTTTTTATCCAAACCCTGTTGTTTGTTTTTTTTTTTTTTGTTGTTGTTTTTTTTCCCAATCTCTTGAAATTGATAAATGAAATGCATTAAAAAAAAAAAAAACGAAAGAAAGAAAATATGATTGCAGTAATTTTTATAACTTTCATTCCATTATTGTGATAGAGAAATGCATTGTATTTGATTTTTTTATTATTATTGTTATTACTTTTTTTTTTTTTTTTTTTTTGGTCACATTTTGAAATATCTGGGATATGATCAAATTCTATAAATTCATTCCATTAAAATGGAAAAATCAGTAAGAGTTAAAAAAAAATAAAAAAATATTGATAAGAAGAGTGGAAAACAAAACATACGTATACACACACACACACACACACACACAAAAAGAGAGTGGCTCAAGAAAAACATAAAAAGAAATAAATTAAAAAAGAATCCAAAACACTCTTTCGATGGTGTCTTCCTATTGTATAAGGGAGTAATTAAGAGAGAGAAAAATTTACAATAAATTTTTTTCTTAATGTATATTCAAAAAAATGTTCATGCACTAGAAATTTTGAGTATTGTACCAAAGTGATCATTTTTTAATGTCTATTCTGGATTTAATGTTAGGTGTCTGTTTCTTTGACAAGAATATCCTTCTCTACATCTGGAAAAAAAACAAAAAAACAGCTGTTATCTTGCAAAGAACAAAGATATCAATTTGAAAAAAAATTGTTTAGCTGATGGATTACATTCTTTTCTTCATGGCCTTAGGAAGTATTGCAAAGACTTTGAATTTTTTTTTTCTATCACTTTCTCTCTCTCTCTCTCTCTCTCTCTCATTACCTCCCATATTTCTTTTTTTTTTTTTCCTTCTCTGTCTCTTTCTTTCCTTTCCAGCTATCTCACTTTTAACTTTTTCTCAGACAAATTGCTCTTGAGTTTTTTCTTCAGGGACTAATCATTTTTGTTTCTTTAACTTTTTATAAATGACCCATTTACAAAATTGATCTTTGTAGAAAAAAACGTATTTGGGGAGTATTAAAAACAACAAAAAAATAATTGAAGAGCATTGTAAACCTGACAACAAAGGATAGGCGCTATTTTAGATTGAAATCCTAATAAAGTACTGATAAAAATAAAATTTGTTTATTTGTAGCCAGACGATAAATATTGGAAGAGCTGCCTTTTATACTTAAAAAGCATTGGTAAGTTATCTCCCCTGCCAACTCATCAGCAATGGCGGGTCATTCAACTATGCTGTAAGAGAAAGTATATATTCTCTTTTTATCTGTCATGTTCATCCTTTGCATGTCAGTTACAGTGCTACAGTTGTTTACTATTCATTGTTGTTAGATAATTTTTAATGTCTAATAGCCAAAACAATATCCCTAAATTATAAAAGTCTCATATCTTCAGTTCATTTTCATTTTTTTTTATTTATTTTAGTTTCCAGTCTTTTACCAATGTTAGATTGTAAAAATTATAATAATAGTAATAAATTCAACCTACCATTTCTACCACAGACCTCAAACTACTTTGCATCTAGTATCTTTGTCTGGTCATAGTTGACTATTTTTTTTTCATGGTTAGTTCCATTATCTCAAGAAAACAACGATAAGTGACATTTGGTTTTTACCCCATATACATAAGATTTTTCTTGAAAAATGAAAAAAAAATCTGCTTATGATCATTCTGAAAAGAAAAAAAAGTTGGCTGATGTAAAAAAAAAAAAAAAAATTGTTCTAAAATTTGTAATTTAAAAGATGTTTAAAATTAGTTTTAGAATCTACATTATTTAATGCCATTCTCAAGTGGTCAAGAATTTGTAAAAGATATGACCTGATTTCCATGTTATATACAAAATAACATTTAATTTGCTTCTCATAAAGTACAGTAAAAATTACTTAATGTGCTATATAAAATTATCTAGCAAATGGAAAAGGTTCTTGTTACTATTTGGATAAATATCATATTACAAAACTCTTTTTCATACTTTAACAACATTTTCAATCTTATAAAGAAAGCAAATATCTAAAAAAAAAAAATGAATTTTTATAAGTGAGAGAAACAGAAAATAGCCTCTTGGGAACTTCCATTTATTGGTTGGGAAGTGTATTTGATCATGTGACATGCTGCCAATATTGGATTGAAATAATGTTTTTCTGATCTCACTTTTATAATGTTAATCTTAGTATGTGTATGTGCTTTTATATTTATTTTCTACAAAGATAAAAAAAAGTGTTTCTGCAAAATGACAAGTTCAAGTAACATTCAATATATTTTTTATTTTATATATGTTTCAATGAATAATATAGACATATTATGTCTATTTCTTTTTATAATAATCCTTTCTAATTCTCTAATTAGTTTCTTGATATTAGATGAAATTCATCAAGGAAGGTGCTGTACTTGGATAAGAAAAAAAATGACGGTGCCTTCCTTGATGAATTTCATCTTAACATCAAGAAACTGAATAAAGAATTAGAAAGGATTATTATAAAATCAAATAGGCATGATATGTCTATATTATTCAATGAAACATGTTTGAATGAAGATATGCTGCCTAAATATACATACATTCAGAGATATATAATATATATATATATATATATATCCATATTTTACAGCATTTTAGACTTACTCTAAATTTAGCATGAAATTTGTTAGAAAAATGAAATAAGATATTTTTTTTAGAGCTTGCTCTAATCATGACTGGGGAAAATTTGTAGACCCCTAACCATGAGCAGGGGTATTTTAAGGGTAAGATTAAAAATAATGTCTTTCAGACCACAAAACAACGGGAATATGAGAGGGGTGTGTATAACATATAGGCTAAAAAATAGCTAAAAATGCTCCCATGCATTTAAAGCAAGTTTTTTGCATTTTATGCAATCTGATGACTTGTGAATTTTCTTGTTTGAAAAGATATGATTTGCAGTAAATTACCTTCAAGTCTTGGTTGATTTGGTAGGTTTAGTAGGTTTATAACTGGAATATAAGATTTCTTTTTTTTCTTCTCTAAAGCTTTGGACAAACTGATGGTCATTACTTGACACTTAAGTAGTATAAAAATAAAGAATTGCAAATTTCTACCTCCAACTTCCAATATCTTTGTGCATTAAATATTTACAAAATACCTTTTAGTTGATAAGTTCAGAAAAATGAAAGCAATTTACATATTTTAAAAGTTTTTCACCCAATGAAAATAAACAATGTTACTCAAATTTGGCTAAATCCTAACCAGCTTTGTTACTGATATCAGTGTGGCTTAAGCAGCTAAAAAAAGTAAAGAAAAATGTTTAAAAAGTTATTACAAAATAAAATGAGTTACTAAATATTTTAGACTGTATTCAAGAATTCTACCAATTCAGATACAGTAAAATATCTTTCTTTTTTTCTATTTATTAAACTGAAACATAAAAAAATGTACTTAAGTACTAATTCTTACACAAAAATTAAACAACCCAATTACTGGTCAAAATCCTAAGTTGCTTATTAAAAAAAATAAAATAAAATAGGGAATGAATTTCATACATTAGAAAAAAAATGATCATTAAATATAATAGACACAAAAAGTCTATTGTTTTTAACAATAGATGTTTGAAAGAATAATTGCTGGCCAAATACCCAGAATTAAAAAAAAAATCTTATATCTCCATCTATTCTATTATAGCAATTTACTAAGTGTAGCTTAGATGTGACACAAGGCAAAAACTATGGAGCACCCAATGAGAATCAAACTCCCAACTCTGAATGCCATAATTGGGTTTGCAATAAATAGTAAAATAGTAGTATTTCTTAAAGAATATTTATATTGACAAACAAATGATAGCTATTCTAGTTTATTTAAAGAATGTGCAATAAGTTCAAACTATGTAAGTGTTGCTAAAATATATCGCAAGTAAAAATAAAAAAAAATATTAAAGACAGGTGTAGATGAGTTAAGTTAGTGGCACTGTCTGAATGGGGATCCCATAATTTCATTAGCTTAGATGTCACAAATGATCATAATCCGGTCCTGATCATAAAGTTCAATTTTTCATGTGATTGAACCACAGATTAATTTGTACAGATTGCAAATAAAATTAACTATTAACACCCCATCAGATAAACTTTCTTGCCACGATATTACCCAGATTGGGGTTTTCAATGAAAATTGATAAATATTTTCCCTGACCAGATTCAGTTAACATTTTTCTAAGAACTGACATGTAATCTCATTTAAATCAAGCATGTGTGTATGGGGGATGTTACTAAGATAAGCATTTGAAAAAAAAAAATGAAGTTTTTAATCCTATATATAAATAAATTGAGGTAAATAGAAAAACATTATCTTGAATTGCTAAATATATCAATTTAATATACAGTTATGTTCATTATCGTCGTCTATTTTTTATATGTCTTTATCCTTCACTCTCCTTTCTCACAAAGTTGTAACATTTTTTTTCTCCTTATATTGTTCTAATTTTTATTTCTTTGTAAGTTTTTTATATCCTCAGGACTTTCTTAACAGTTAACCAATTCTTTGATCTGTTAAATCATTGAAAATTGTTGTTTTGACATGAATATCTTTCAACATCTGTAGGCAAGAGATATGGGTCAATAAAGTTGTTTGCTCTTATTACATGTCAATATCGTATATTCCTTATTTAGCATAACATAAATGCATACAAATCATCTTTCTCATCTTTTAATATAATCATACATACTGAGAATACATATCATATAAACAAATAGTAAAACTGATTAAGTCCCTTACTTATTTTTACTTATCCTCCTTTTTTTCTTTTCTTTTTTCTTTTTCTTTGCTTTTTCTTTTCTTTTTCATTTTCTTTTCTGTTTTCTTTTCTTCTTTCCTTTTTCTTTTCTTTTTTCTTTTTTTCCTTTTTCTTTTTTCCTTTTTTTTCCCTTTTCTTTTTTTTCTTTTCTTTTTTTAAGCAAATCTCTATATAAATCATGATTTTCAATAAAATTTGAAATGGATTGTGTGGATTTTTTTTTTACTAATTTTTCTTCCACTACAAAGCCCAAGAGCCATTCAAGGTAGAGTGTTACTGAATGAGTATTGTTGTATGAACATAAAGGAGGAGTTAAGAAGTGGTTTATGAGGATGTGTTGGAGCAATAATGGTTAATCCTAGATTTGAAGAGTTTAAGATTGTAGTGATTGGGGAAGCATCCTCTTGGGATTCTATTCCACCAAGTAGCAGTTCTTGGGGGGAAAAAGCTGCCTAAATGGAACTTCCTTCCTACTAATGGAATATGAAGGAAATGGGAGATAGCATTGTTTTTTTTCAATACAGATTTGAAATGCACTATGCTGGTATTTTAATTCTTATAATTCATTTTTATCCTTTCTTTTTGTATTTCATAATCATCAGATTGCACAAGACATATTGAAATAATGATTAATAGCAATTAAAATAAAACTATTTATGTTTCAGAGGTGGAGCTTAAGAAATCTAAACCCTTATAATATAAACTCTAGAAGTCAGTCCTGTGGCTGAAGGTGTAAGAATGTTCAAGACAACCCAATAAATACAAACAATAGAGTATTTTAAGGAATTCCAAAATCTCTTTCTTAGTTGACAATGTTTGATCAAATAGAATTTTATAGAAATCATAATAGTGTTATAACTACTACTAACAGATGTAAAAACAATAACAAATATTGTGCCCAGCAATCTGAGTAGATAAGTTATAAGCCTATAAGAGGATAAGTTATATGGTTAGATTTGGTCTTCTGCCAGCCATAAAAGTTCTTGTAGCCTAATCAGCAAATTAAAACAAGTGATATGGTTAGCCATATTTTTAAGTCATGCCAGCAACTTATTCTTTATTTTTATTTTTTTTGCTGTTTGCTGATTGCTTTAGATTTATGAACTGAACTGCTGCAATGAAAAACAACTAAAATTAAAATGAAAGAAACATATTACTTAAAAAAAATTTAATTATGGCAGAACACATAGTGTTGTCACAAAATTGGCTAAAAATTTATTTTCAGATGTAAGAATATGAAATGCTAAAAATAATAAAATTGGAAACTTAGTTTTCATGTAGCATAAGAAATAATTTCACAATTTTTGGGACAAAATGATCAGGCACAAATCAAGGACCAAAAATGTAATTGAAATTACATTTATTGAAAGATAAAAAGATAACATTTTAAGATCTTCAGACATTTAGGCTCAAACATGAACCAAAAATGACAAAAGAAGGCCTAGAGTACATACTCTAGATGTCCACCATTGAATTGAAGGCACTGTTGACTGTAAAGTTGTTGATAACATGTGCACATTTCTCCAGTGTGATTGCTTGAATCTTCTCAGTGATGGCTGTCTTCAGTGTAACAATAGTACAAGGGGTTGCCCTGGTAGATATTGTCCTTGAGGAACTCCCCAAAGGAAGACATCTGGTGGGTTCAGATCAGGCCAGTGAGGTGCTAATTCCACTTCAGCTTAGTGGCTGGTGAGACGCTCCCCAAACTTTTCACAGAGCCATGCTATGGTAACATTAGCAGTGTGAGGAGAAGCACCATCCTGCTAAAACTGCTGTTCCTCCTCATCAAGGTCCTCACACTCCTCGAGATCTCTCCAGCTGAGAGGCCACTGCTTTGTTTCAACAAGTGTGAAACACCCTGTATTTGCTAGAGGTCTTTCCATCTTTTATGTGCCATCTTGCTCTCTTTAAAAGAGAAAATGAAAATCAATCCTATTTCTTTATGAATCAAATACCTAAAGAAAATTTTGAGATCTTTGTCTAATATTTTTTACATATATAATAAAAACCTATTCAGTGTTTTAACTCACCAGTTTTCTATATCATTTAATATATCATAAACTTCTTATTCTAATAAACTTGATATCTTGGAAAAGATATATTTGAAATGCTTAACAAAGGAAGAGTGCCTCTATGTATAAATTAGAATTGCCTATATGACATGGCCAGTTCTGAATGGCATTGACAATGTAACTAAGATTGCTAAGAATGAATCAAGCCATTTGGTACATTAGCTACTAGATTTTGTTTGCTATTTTGTTCTGTTGTTATCAATGTCGGATTTTCCTATAGGCTTAACAGGCTGAAATCTAGGGCCTCCAACTAAGGTGTATATTTTTGACACTGTCATAGACCTTTCTTACACATGTTGCCGTAATGCATTGTAGTATCTAAACAACTCTTCAATAATTTTAAACACCCATCATCATCCTCAGTTTTATTCAAATCATTTAAAACTATTCCATTTTCCCCTACTCATGAGAATGCGGGATTTGGAGGGGCCTCACAAGTGAAATAACCCAAGACCTCTCTTCATCTAAATCTGGCCCTGGTTGTGAATGGGGAATAAGATATTATTATTATTATTGTTGAGCCAGCTCTGATATTCATGAGTCTATCATGCCAGCCATCAGAGTCCTGCATCAAGGTTGGAAGTTCATTAGGGTAGCATTCTGTGTCATAACATAGCTGGTCAATGTAGGTGGTTGCTGGGCAACCAACTCATCTTGCTCCATGGCTAGGTGTCTAGAACAGTAGATCACTCACGAGTCCTTGTTTTGCTTGCCAGCAATGTCCTGCAAAACACATTGTAAAATATCAGTGATGGGTCCGTAGAGCTGTGATTTATTTTGATGTTGTCTCCAAGAGATGTTAAGTATAGCTCTGAGCATCCGAGTATTTTCCATCAAGTTTAGACTCTAGGGATTTAGTTAATGTCTAGGCAGTGGCACCATTCATTAACAGTGTCTCTACAGTGGCTTGAGGTTGTCTGGTAGATCAGGTTACATCCATTTTGTTCAAGGCAGGCCAGGCTTTAACTGTGTGAATTTTCACATCCTTTTCAGTGGGATTTATCTCACTTCCTCAGCATGTAAAAGATTTGATAGATTTTATTGATTCACCTGAGACAGTTTGTATTGAGCTTTGCTGGTTGAAGCTTATGAATCCAGTTTTAGAGGCATTGGAATAGAGTTTATTACTGTTGACACCATTACCGATGTCACAGTAATCCTACATCATCTAGAAAATACTGCCAATGATGAAATAATATACATTTCTCTTTCTTTATGAATTATACATGTGAAGAAGGTTGTAGAATGGAACATCAGAAATTCTGCAGTAATAACATCAACACAAAGAATGAGCTTAACAGTTTGACCAAATCCTATAATGACTATATACATATATAAGCATTTTACCCTAAGCAAGGTGGGAGTGCCACTAGCATGCAAGGTGTTACAGAGAGTGAGAGCAAAAGTAAAGAGGGGAGTGTTTGAGGAAAGAATATAGAGAAAGATGGGGATCAGGATCAAGGCATCAGAAGATGTCGATTGACATTACATTTGAATATTTGAAGATTATAGCTAACAGGGAAGCAAGTAGGAGGAAGGGAGTTCCAGTGGCAGGAAGTGTGAGAGAAGAAGATGTTGGAGTAGAAGAGGTGGTTACATTTAACTGTTTCGACAGTGAAAGGGTGGGACCAAGATGCCAACTTAGTAGCGTGCTTAAATTCAATTGGGCTGCTAGTGAAAGTAGATCGTCATAGCAGATGCCATGAAAATTTGATTTGGTAATAAAAAAAAAAAAAAAAATTGGCACTGAAAAACTAATTGTTGCCAAACAAATTAGTTACTAAAAAAGTTACTAATTCTGTGATAGTTGTTAGATAGAGTATATGAAAGGCAACATCTAGCAACTATTGTAGGAAAGATGTAGTATTACTTTGGGAATTAAAAAAAAAAGATTTCAGATAATACATCTGTCAGTTATTATGAAAAATAAATCGGAACTTTGCATATCAGATTAGTAATGGCTTACTAACATCTTATTTCAGACAGAAAACTTCAACTTGATTGCATCAGGGATCTATATCTGATCTTAAAAGAATTAAATAAACATAAATTACTTAAATGGTCACAGAATCATTTTATGATTTTGCATCTGCAATCATCTGAAATGAATGGTATAATTGAATAAGGATATGACATATACAATAATGGTAAATAAATAAAACAATTTGGAAAACCTCTTTTATTTATTTATATATATATATATATATATATATATATATATATGTATGTATGTATGTATGTATGTTTTATCAGGGAAACAGCGTCATCAGAAAAAGAATTTTCTTTCAAGAAAATCTGTATTAGCCTTTAACACATTGCATTATTCATTACTTTTTTCTTTCCACTGCATTGTTTTACAAGTCTTCTCTACTGCACTACTTAATGGTCATTTTCTGCTACCATAGCAGGATATGACAACACAACTTCAAAATTCAAACACACTATTATTCATTCATCTGAGTCACTTGCAGTGGCAGGATAAAATTTTTCTTTGCAAACAAAATCACCTCCAGAATGTTAAAGGTTAATATGACAAAATATGATTCATGTTCTTACTGAACTGGTGATGAAGCATTTTGGGATATGTTGACCTTGGGATGGATAAGTATACAAACAAATGAATAAAAATAGAAATAAGTTTAGAATGGGGATCAAGCATTTTTTTTTTTTTTTTTTTGCTAATGTAGATTACTTTGAAATACAATTCTTTTTCTAACAACACGCTTTCATTGGTGAAACATGTCAAAGTAAGAGTTTTGTAAATTGTCTTATATATTTACCATTCCACTGGATTCTCATTGAAACTTATATATAATAATATTAATAATTTAGTAGAGTCATTGAGATATATATATATATATATATATATATATATATACATACATGCATGAAATAAGCTTTAGAGAAAAGGTCTGTAAAAATGAAAACATTTTTTATACATTATGATGATAATATAGTGAAGTCATAGGTAGCCTTTATATATTTACATTAAATAAACTTTAGAGTAAAGGTATGTAAAATGAAAATACTTTTGATACACGCTAATATTAACCTTGGGAGTTGTATAAATATAAAAAAAAAATGAAGTCCCTTTACTTTTGATAAGTATA